GCACATTTTATTTCAGTGAGGCTATGAGTTTATTAGATGCGAATCCAACCCGAATCGTGCCTTTGTCAATTTCCATGGATCAAAACCGAGGTTGTAACAGGATCTAGATTTCTAGATTTTCCAATTTTGGTCGTCCCGCTCGAGCGGGGAAAGTGACGCTCGAGCGGGGATTGTAAGCTCACAGCATCTCTGCTTTGCCTGAAAAAGTACTGGATGGTGTGATTCGACGCTCGAGCGTGGGAACGTCCGCTCGAGCGTAAAGCCTATATAAATCACACAATTTTGAAGCCTCCGCTCGAGCGGGAATTACCACGCTCGAGCGGACCGCGCGAACACAGATTCTTGGATTTCTATAAGGAATTGGTTTTCTTCCAAAACTAGGATTACTTTGGTTTTCTATAAGTAGTTGGTTTTCTCCCAAAACTCATAGAACTTCTGCAGATCTTCTTTTTGGGTTCTAAGGTTTATATCTGGGGATATTTTGCTAGTTTTCTTTGATGTTTTGATTGAGTATTCAACTCATGGTTTAAAGAGTATACACCAAAGGATTATTTGTTTGTTCTAAAAAAAAAAGAAAGAGTTGTTCTTCGATGGATTTTGAAGAATTCGAGCCTGAAGCTTTGGTAGATTCCGGAGTGGCTCATCATCAAGACAATTCCGAGGTGAAGACGTGGTTGGAAGAGGCACATAGAGGTTGGTTCAATTCGGACGTGGATTCGCTAGGTAATTGAGAGTATACCTGTGTAATTCCTTTATATCTTCTTAGTTGATTGTTTTGTGGCTGTTGCCCGTGATTTTTTTATCACAATTGGAGGTGTCCAATTGTGGTTTTTCCATGTAAAATTGTTGTGTCAATTTGTCTTGATTGTTTGATTAGGATTGTTGTTTACTGCTTAAAATTGATACATAATCACAAATCAACATCTAGGGGATTTCTAAATTTTTCAAAAAGAAAAAAAAACCTAAAAACATATAATTGTGTTTTTGTATATTTTTAAAAATCATTATGTCAGACATATGTATGTAACTGTGTTAATAAATGTTGTTCTATCTATATGACATTTTGCAATCATCCACAATCGCTTATAATCCGTGTTTTTATAAATATTTTTAAATTGAAATGGTTAACTTCACTCCATTATCATTACTGACATAGAAAATGTAAAACAAACAAAGAAATTATCTAACCTAATTTTTTTTAAAAAAAATAATCACATTTTTTGTTAGGTGACCAAATCTCATCATTGTCCAAAACATCATACATATTAAGGTTGCCTATTCTGTCCTTACCTTAACTTGGTTTGAGACATACTAACTCCATACCAATTAGACAATAGAAAGCCATTTTGTAAATTTGAAACAATTTTTTAAATGGGTTGGACTTTTCTCAAACTTGAATATGAACTTGTAGTGATCTCGATTTTGATATTTCTTTCATGTTTTGCCATTTTGACTCGGCTGGTCGGGGGTCGAGCTGCCCGGTTAGCTCGCGGGGGTCTAGGGGGCAGCGCCCGTTGGCGGATCTAAGGGCAGCGCCCCTGGCGGGGGTCGAGCTGCTCGGTCAGCTCGCAGGAGTCTAGGGGGCAGCGCCCCTTGGCGGGTCCTACGGCAGTGGGACAGCGCCCCTTGGTGGGTCCTACGGTAGTGCCCTGGCAGGGTTGAGGGGCAGCGCCCCCAAAATAAAAATGCAAAATGCATTCGAAGTTGTTTGTCCGCTCGAGCGGCCGTTTATGCGCTCGAGCAGAGAATGTTTGGTTTCAGAAGTTTGACCTGTCGGCAAAAGTACTGGGTTAGTGTATTTGACGCTCGAGTGGGGCATTCCACGCTCGGGCGGACCATGTTATATCAGTTCGTGAATTTGATCTTTCATATCACTTTTTCAGTCCTCTCTCTCTCTCTCTCTAAAACTCTCCAGAATTCCAGATCAGGAGTTTCTCTCTCTAGAAGTCATCTTCTCTATTTGATTTCTCCAAATCTATTGGGATTTAGACCTAAGTTCTTCACCAAAGTTGGTTATCATCTCGAGGGCTTCGTTGTGTGTGGTGAAAACCAAGTTTCGACACCGTTGATTTTGGGGGTTTCATCTCATTTCTTCTTCAAAACTTGAGGTAGGGATTTTCTTAGAGTTATATATATGTTTTTGCAAGATCAAGATGATTTTTGAAATCATCCTTTGATTAGATTTGAGAAATTGATTGTTCATTTGAATAAAATGAGTGATTTTGAAAGAGGGTTTAATTTCTTTTCCTTTTAAAATAGAAATTGAAGGTTTTGAACCATATTGATTGAAGAAAGATGATTTTGGGGGGATTCTTCTAAATATTTTGGAGATGAATGGTTTTGGTGAGAAAACCTAGAAATTAGGTCTTTTCTTGAAAGATGTTGAAAATCTTTGGAAGATGTTGTCATATTTATTTTGTGTACCAAAATAAGTAGATGTTTTAAAAATTGTTATTTATATATAAATGACGAATTTTGTGAAAAAAATGAGAAATGTTGTTTATTTTGGAAATTGTTGTCAAAATGTTGATTTAGACTTGAATTGACTAAATTGTTGAGATTACTCGAAATGTGGGAATTAAATGAATTGGATATAAAAGAGTGTATATATATATATATATATATATTCACCTTGTGGAATTGTGTTGAAAAGAGGATTGGGAATTTTGATCACAATCGTATATTGTGTGGAACAATTGAATATGAAAGTAATGTTGCATTGCAGTATTAAGCATACATTGGCATTTCAATTCATTGGACTATGTTAAGCTTTGGAAATTTGCATTGAGAAAAGAATGTTGGGAAATGGGTTTTCATGAAATGGTTTTGGAATAAATACGGTGGTAAGTCTTGATAGGTGGTGTAGATGAAATTGTTTAAGTTGGCCTGAGTGTCCTTGGTGAAAGACCAGAAAGTCGCGCAAATAGGTGTTGAGTCTTTCGGTTAATACTGATAAAAATGACAATTGATAGTACTCGTATAGTGTACTTGCAGACATCGACTTAGGGATTACCAGAGTTGTATTTACTGCCTCCTTTAATTAAATTGATAAATTTTGAACAGTTGAAGTTGCATAACATCGTTGAGCATGATGGTTTTCAAAAGATGAAGATGTGTTTTATTTTCAAAAAGGCATGTCATGGCATGTGCATTCATCTCTTGAGACTTGTATAAAATGTATATACTTTGTTAAGGATTTCCTACTGGGCTTTATGCTCATCCTATCGGATTTTTGTGCAGGAAAAGACGTGGTGAATCCGCCTAATTGAGGGCGTGGAAATGTGTGTGTTGAGAGCACTAAAGTTCTCATTTGCTGTGATCCTATTTGTAAGCCAAGGGTTATGTGTGTGTTGGTTTGAATAACCATTTTGTGTGCCGAGCTTAAGCCTTGGAAGATTGTAAACCCTTGGGGGTGCTTATTTGGTTATTTACTTGTTGTTGAATCAATGTAATATCGCATGAGAAACTATTATTATTATGTAATGCAAGTATGGGAAGTTATATTTGGTTTTCCTTTAAGAGAGCTATGATTGTTGCATTATCATTTGGGCTAGAAATTTGGGATGTTACATTCTTAGTCAACAACTGTTGGCTCGGAGAAACCCTAATCATACCCTCAATCATGTTCTCTTCATCGTTGGGTGATATTGCTTTGGCATTATCTAATTGAATTTTAGCCACTCCAAAATAAAAAATTAAAAAAAATCAAATTTAATCACAAGAAACAAAAAAAAAACAAACAAGCAAATTAAGCAAAAATACATATGAAAGAGAGAGAGAGAATGATTTGTAGATTCATATCATAACTCTGGTAAAATCGCTTATCCGCTGACTTCATCAATGGAGTTTTTGAGACTCCATCTTTGTCTTCATCTTCATCTTCATCTCCTTCTATGTTGATGCCTCTGCCTCTCATCTTAGCAGCCTCTATTGGATTGGTTTAGGTTTTCTTGCATACATGTATATATAGACATCCTCTAACTAGGTTTTTTTTTTGGCCTTTCATAAAAAAGGTAGGAGAAATTGCAAATCAATGGAGTGTTTTCAAAATAATTGCAAATTTGTGAAAAATTTTATCACTTTTAATTATTAAAATTGATAAAGTATTCCACTAATTTGCAATTATTTTGAGAGGATCCACTGAATTGCAATTTTTCCAGAAAGGTATACAATTTAAGTTTTGAACAATGTTAGGGATCTCAACAAAATTACTAATTGTTTTTTTACTAAATACTCAAATGTGGAGTCCACACTCATATGGGTCCCGGTCCCACACCCATATGAGTGTTTGGTAAAAATTGATAATTTTATTAGGATATCTAGCATTTTTCTTAAGTTTTTGGCAAGTAATAATAAGTGTAGGTAAGACTTAATACTATAAGTTTTTTGAAAGTACCATTAAGTGCTCGAGAGACTAAGTATAATATTAGGATTATGATAAGAAAATTAATTTTAAAAATATTAGAAAAAGGTTTAAAATTTTGTAAAATCATTGCAAAAAAAAAAAAATGTTTTCAAAATCAGTTTTTATTGTTTAATTGGGACAAAGATGGTATGTCTCGAACCAAGTCAAGGTAGGGGATGAGAAAGGCAGGTTTAACACGCATTAGATTTGGGTTGAGAATGAGATTTGATGATTTTCCAAAAAATTCGGCTCACTACTAAAAAAAGTACTTTTTGCGACCGCTATAAACCGTCGCAAATAATAAAAAACAGTCGCAAAAAGCCTTTTGCGACGGCCCATGCGACGGCAAATGGGGGTCACAAATATGGGGGTGGCAAATACTTTTTGCGACGGCAAGGCAACAGTCGCAAATTATTTGCGACCACCTAAATTACTTATAGCGACCGCTATTTTGCCGTCGCAAAAAACAAAGAAAAACATCTTGTTACCGTTGCAAAAAGAAATAAAATAAAATAATAAAATAAATAAAAAAAATTGTAACATTAAGCACTCTAGGAATAGCAATGACAAGAATTCATACCGTATAACATTGTAATTTAATCAAGCATTCCATTTGAGTCTCAAAATTGGAGCCATATGTGAAAGTTATTACAACTAAAAACTTGGAAAAAGTTCTTTTATGAAAAAATTACAATCCAAATAGAATGCTAGTAAAGTCAAAATCTACAATGTTGGTGTTCACCACTGTACAAGGTACCGGTTGAGTTCCAATTTGTTAGCATAGAGATATATGTTCCTCAAATCCAAGCTTGCACCTGATCAATACACATTATGAAGGGGAATAGATCAGAACACAGACTACCCAATTTCTAGATCTTTTTTTAGATATAAAGCCTCAAGCAAAGCAAACATTGCAAAGAAATTATGAAAATCAAAATAGACAGCCAGAAAACAACCAAGAAGCCATTTACAAAACAAAACAAGAGTGGTTCCATATAGAAACATCTATGATGAGTGCATATAGAAAATTATTGTCCATTTTGTTTCCTGGTCATCCAGCAAGAGAAGCCTCCCAAAATTAATATTTTATCCCTAAGTATAAGACAGATAAATAGTAGATAACAAATGTACTCCATCCTGAAAGACAAACAAGAAAGATTTGATCTTTTCTGCCCTGTTTAAGTAAGATTCTATCAATAATCTGAAGAACAATTCATTAATCAAACTTTTAAACGTTCCAACTGCCACAAATGAACAATTTTCAGTAAACCTTCTAGTCCATGCTTTCAAGCTCTCCTGACAAATAATATCAGTAAATGCCACCTGATACCTTTACATTAGGCCAATAAACCAACCACATTGAGTTCTAAATCAATTCAAAACTCTCAAGAATGATAACTTAGTGACTATGAAATGTATCAAATTAAGTACATGGCTACAACAGATCTCATCAGTCTAGGGAACTCACAGCATTGGCTGCCTTTTCTTCTAAATTTTTTTGAAGTATAATAGTGTATGCAAGCAGTTGGTAAAATTTGCAGAATGTACAATGTGCAATTTGCATTTTGCACCATAGTAATTACTACAGAAATTGTAATCATACCTCAGAACGCAGAGTGTGAAAGTACCCAATTAGAGCAAATTTAGAAGCAGAGTATACGGCCTGACCTGGTGTAGGTGTCTTCCCTGCAGCACTGCTCATCATCAGCTAAAAATGCATCTCCATGTAGATAGCAAGACTTTTTCTTTCATCATTCAAAAATTGAACTAATTTAAAAGCATTTCAAAAACCAAAGGGATATGGTGCAAAAAAAGCAATGGAAATGCAAGGAATCATTAGAAACATAAACTAAAACTTATCAATATGTATATACTAGCAGTAACCCATGTTATGCATGAACCTTATATTCCAAAATGAGTCATTGTAGCCATCTCATAATATAAAATTTGTGATGATATAATTATACCACTTGAATTTTGTGCATAGATACCAGCCACATATCAAGAAAATGGGTTAAAGAGAAAAATAAGAGCAAAAGGGATTAGAGTTCGTAGTGGAAGGACATACTAGAAAACTATTTCTTGACTCTCTAATTCAGCTTCATTTCGAGTAGAAATGATAAGCTTAGCACCTAAACTTGCAAGTTGTTTGGCAAGAACCTCCCATTCCATCCAATAGTAAAGAGAAAAATAAGACTTTCTATAAAACATGGAACAAATGAAGCTCCAAAGTAGGAAAAACTCACACAACATTTTGGAAAATAAGAGGAAAGATGCCTAGAGTGAAAGAACCAAAACTAGAGCTCAAAGCGTCAGTAATTGGAAAAAGATAGAGGAACTAAAATAAAATCTCATGCTTCCAAATTATTTTCTTTATGATTAAAAAAATATATGGAAAAGGCCAAAATCTCGAACACCTAACCCATTTAAACAAGTTTAAAGACTTGATTCAACATTAAGGCCAGGTTTCATCAAGAGATAATGTACACACCTGCAAAACATTAAGCATCATCTTAAAATCAGTAAAGCACAAAAGTTACCAGGGCATTCAAAGTTAACAATAAGAACCCAAAGCATTTTAAAATTTTCCACCAGAAGTCATCAATCCTTTCCTTGGTTGCAATTGAAAGGTGGTCATTCCAAAATTACATAATAAGCTCAAAACTCGAATATTTATATTTAATAGAGAACCATCTAGCAAATGAAACAACCATCTAGAAAAAACAATGAGATTCCACAAATTTATGGTGTTTGCCTCGGAAAAAGACACCACGGTGCAGAACAGGATCCCACTCCCATCCAAATTCATCCCAGTTTGACAATTTCTATTCCTAAAACATTAACAATATTGGTATAATGAACTTGGCCTGGTCGTTTATGCACATAAAACCTATTTCAAGAAGATGAAAACTGCTAAGTGAAAAATAAAAGAATATATACACACAACATACACAAAAATGAATTTAATTTAAAGCTATAATTTCACATAGGCATATGCTATTTTTCTAACAAACAAAACAAGTATTCTCCTGAATTCATCAAAGGAGCTCCAAGGCATACCTCAAACAGCTAATTATCAGCATTCAAACCATGAAGTCAATACTTAACATTACTAAATCAAACATTAAACACATAAATTTGTTAATTAAAATAGCAATTAATCGCATACCAATGCCACGGCTTGCCCCAGTGATTCAGACAACCTAACCATTCAACAACAAAATAATCAAATCAATACTTAAAACATCAGAATAACAAACAACATGATAAAAATTCTTGGATGGTGATCTTGTTCTTAACAAAATTTGTTTGGTTTTTATGTTTAGTCTTGCAATGAACAAACTACAAGTACTGTCCGGAATGGTTTCCATTTGAGTCGCAAAATTGGAGCCATATGTGAACGTTATTACAACTAAAAACTTGAAAAAAGTTCTTTTATGAAAAAATTACAATCCAAATAGAATGCTAGTAAAGTCAAAATCTACAATGTTGGTGTTCACCACTGTACAAGGTACCGGTTGAGTTCCAATTTGTTAGCATAGAGATATATGTTCCTCAAATCCAAGCTTGCACCTGATCAATACACATTATGAAGGGGAATAGATCAGAACACAGACTACCCAATTTCTAGATCTTTTTTTAGACTGTGAGGATGGTGCTGTCTCAACTTCTTGTGCTTGGACCTCAGCTTCTCTTTGACTTTGTGGTTCAGTATCCAAGATTGGAAACTCACCATTGTCATCCTCATTTGTTGCTGGAGTAGGAGAACCTGTATCATCTATAACCACATTGATAGATTCCATTATTGATGAAGTTCGCAGGTTATAGACACGAAAACCCTACTAGTGGTTGAATACCTTAGAAAGATACCTTCATCACTTCAGGAGTTAAATTTGCCTAAGGGCTTTCTATCTTTGAAGATGTAACACTTACTCCCAAAATTTTTGAAGTATTTTACATTAGGTTTCAATCCTTTCCACAATTCATATGGAGTTTGTAAAGTGCCGGGGCCTTAAATACACGCGATTTATGACATAAACAGTAGTATTTAGGGCTTCAACCCAAAACTTTGGAGGAAGTTTCTTACTAATGAGAATGACCTTAGCCATTTCTTGAACAACTCTGTTCTTCCTCTCAACCACTCCATTTTGTTATGGAGAAATAGGTGCAGAAAATTCATGCTTAATTCCATGCATATCACAAAAATCCGAAAACGAACTGTTTTCAAATTTATGACCATGATCAGTTCAGATTCTTATGATACGTCCAATAAAAACACCATGTTCATTTTAAATTTTAAGGACTAAGGCCTGGAAAGCATCAAACGCATCAGATTTTTCCTTGAAAAAATTTACCCACGAAAATCGAGTAAAATCATCAACAGTTAAAAAAATATATCTTTTACCTCAAATGCTTTCAGTGCGAGTAGGACCCATTAAATCCATGCGAACCAATTCAAGAGGACGTTTGGTTGTAAAGTTGTTCACCTTTTTATAAGGGGCACGAGTCTGCTTTCCAAGTTGACATGGTCCACACACATGGTTCAGATTCTTACCCAGTTTAGGTACTCCTCTCATAAGCTCTTTGTTAGTTATCTTAGTTAGGTTTTTGAAATTCATATGACCTAATCTTTGATGCCACAAATCAATATTACTTATAATGGCAGAGTGACAAGTGAGATCATTCGTAGTAACAATCCCATAGCAGTTATCAGATGTGCGAACCCCATGCAAGACAGTATTTCCCTTTTTATCCAAAATTTCACATTTATTTTTTGAAAACAATACTTCATGGTGGGAATCACACATTTGACTAATGCTCAAAAGATTTGCTTTAAGACCATCAACAAGAAGAGCATTTTCGAGCTTAGGAAGACCAGCAACACTTATAGAGCCCTTACCAATGACTCTAGAAGTGCCGCCATCTCCAAATGTAACAATTCCTTCTTCATATTTTTCAAGGGAGGTGAAGTAGGATTTGTTACCGGACATGTGACGAGAGCACCCACTATCAAGATACCACATGTATGAGTCATGTGCCTTTAGGGCAGTGTGAACAACTAAACAAGTCAAATCATCTTTTCTCACCCAAATCTTTTTGGTCTTGGTAAATGTCTTGGCGTTGTGAATACCCTCATGAATCTTGGTATTCTGCCTAGACATGTAAGGTTGTCTCCTAACCCAAAAAGTATTCAAATTTTTACCCTTTTGAGACACCTTACCAAGCAATTCATAGCAATAAGGACTAATGTGGCCATACCTACCACAGTGATGACAAATAAAAACAGGTTTTACCTCCCTTTTGTTGATCTTACCAACTTTAGGCAGATGAAAAGAGAGATTAGCCTGGTCTACCTTCAACTTTCCTTTTGCTTGAGTCTTCAGGTCATGTGAAGTAGAGCCTGTCTCTTGTGAGCTGTCGCACCGTAGCCTAGCCCACTTTTGTCACAACCCATTTGTTGAAACCCGAGGATGTCTTTTAAAGATTTGGACCCTTTGTTTCACATAGCAATAGTGGCTCTAGCAATACGGAGTTCTTCATCTTTCTGACAGACTATCTCTTCCAATGTAGCTTCTGGCATCTCAAGGCTTTCAAGCTTCTCTTCATATGTGGAATACACCTTCAGAAGTTCATTCCTTTCCGTTTCACAGGATAGAAGTTTTCCACATAAGTCTTGCCTGTCACTTGAGATCTTGATGATATTCTGCTTTGCTGCTACAAGTTCTCCTTTCGGCTTGACATTTTCATTTTCACATGCTTTGAGTTTGAGAGAGAGTTTATCATTGATTTTGGAGAAATTCAGAGATTCCTCGTAAAGCTTTTCGTAGGCTTGTTGCAGTTTGTTAGGTTTTATTCTTGGCAACCCTGTTTGACAAAACTCCTTTCAGTTGTATTTGTTTTCGCACCTTTTATTTCAGTGAGGGTACGAGTTTATTAGATGCGAATCTAACTCGAATCGTGCCTTTGTCAATTTACATGGATCAAAACCAAGGTTGTAAGAGGATCAAGTTTTCCAGATTTTTCAATTTTGGTCGTCCCGCTCGAGCGGGGAAAGTGACCCTCGAGCAGGGATTGCAAGCTCACAGCATCTCTGTTTCACCTGAAAAAGTACTGGATTGTGTGATTCGATGCTCGAGCGTGGAAAATTCCGCTCAAGTGTGAAGCCTATATGAATCACACAATTTTGAAGCCTCCGCTCGAGCGGGAATTCCCACGCTCGAGTAGACCGCGCGAACACATATTCTTGGATTTCTATAAGGAATTGGTTTTCTTTCAAAACTAGGATTACTTTGGTTTTCTATAAGTAGTTGGTTTTCTCCCAAAACTTGGACAAGTCTTTCAGATCTTCTTTTTGGATTCTAAGGTTTATATCTGGGGATATTTTGCTAGTTTTCTTTGATGTTTTGATTGAGTATTCAACTCATGATTTGAAGAGTATACATCAAAGGATTATTTGTTTGTTCTAAAAAAAGAGAGAGTTGTTCTTCGGTGGATTCTGAAGAATTCAAGCCTGAACCTTTGGTGGATTCCGGAGTGGCTCATCGTCAAGACAATTTCGAGGTGAAGACGGGGTTGGAAGAGGCACATAGAGGTTGGTTCAATTCGGGTATGGGTTCGCTAGGTAATTGAGAGTATACCTGTGCAATTCCTTTATATCTTCTTAGCGGATTGTTTTGTGGTTGTTGCCCGTGATTTTTTTTATCACAATTGGAGGTGTCCAATTGTGATTTTTCCATGTTAAAATCGTTGTGTCGAATTGTCTTGATTGTTTGATTGGGATTGTTTTATTGCTTAAAATTGATACATAACCACAAATCAACATCTAGAGGATTTCTAGAATTTTCAATTGGTATTAGAGCGGGTCGTTCTATTTTTTTTAAAAATAATATATCTTTTAGAACGAGATCTTGTTTGATTTGTGATAATGGGTTCAATTCGTGAGGGAAATTCTATGGTTCGACCACCTCTACTTGACGGATCCAATTATTCTTTTTGGAAAGCTCGGATGAGATCGTTTTTGAAATCTATAGATGAAAAAGTTTGGCAATCTGTCATGAATGGGCGGACTGAACCAACAATTACCGTTGATGGAGTAACTTTCCCCAAACCAATTGAAAAGTGGGACACAATTGATTACCAAAATAGTAGCTGGAATAGTAAAGCTATCAATTCTCTCTTTTGCGCTGTCACACCTGAAGAGTTTAGTCGTATTTGCAATTGTAAAGTCGCAAAAGAGGCTTGGGATATCTTACAAACTATTCATGAGGGCACTCCTTCGGTGAAATGCTCAAAACTTCAAAGGCTCACATCTAGCTTCGAAAA